GTCATTAAGCGTCTGCCTTAGGCTCAGGTCATGGTCCCAGGGTCCTGGGATCGAGCCCCACATCGGGCTCCCTGCTCCGCGGGAAGCCTGCTTCTCCCTCTCCCACTGCCCCTGCTTGTGTTCCCTCTCTTGCTGTGTCTCTCTCTGTCAAATAAATAAATAAAATCTTTAAAAAAGATTTTTATTTTTAAGTAATCTCTACGTCCAATGTGGAGCTCGAACTCACAACCCCGAGATCAAGAGTTGTATGCTCCACTGAGCCAGCCAGATGCCCCCAGTATGTCTAATTTTTTTTTTGAGAGAGAGAGCGTGTGCGCACGTACAAATTGGGGGGAGGGGCAGAGGGAGATGCAGACTCCCCACTGAGCAGGCAGCCCGATGTGGGGCTTGATGTCAGGACCCTGAGATCATGACCTGAGCCGAAGACAGATGTTTAACCGACTGAGCCACCCAGGCGCCCGGCATGTCTAATTTTTACAATTGCCCTGCAAGGTTATTGTATGATCTCCATTTGGTGGACTCTGAAAATCAGAGATGTAAATTCCTTTGATAACACCACACAGCTACATCTCCACACGCATGCACACAATGGGATAGCATTTAGCCCTAAAGAGGATGAATGCTACACTTTGCTACAACAGGGAAGAACCTCAGAAACTCATACTAAGAGAAAGAAGCCAGACATAAAAGGTCACATACTGCGTGGTTCCATTTGTACGAAATATCCAGAATGGGTACATCTACACCTACAGACAGATAGCAGACTGGTGGTTGCCAGGGGCTGGTGGAAACGTGAATGGGGAGAAAGTGTTAAACGGGTATGAGGTTTTCTTTTGGGGTGACAAAAATGATTTGGAACTAGATGGAGGTGAGCGTTGCACATCATAAATTTATTCTTTTTCATTAAATTTTTTTTTAAGATTTTATTTATTCATTTGAGAGAGAGCATGCGCGCACAAGCTCGAGCCAGGGAGGGGCAGAGAGAGAAGGGCTAGAGCCTGACACTGGGCTCAATCTCAGGACCCAGAGATCATGACCTGAGCCGAAATCAAGAGTCGGATGCTTAACCGACTGAGCCATCCAGGTGCCATAGTAAATTTAATCAATGCCACTGAGTTGTACATTTTAAAATGGCTAACTTTATGTTGTGTGAATTTTACCTCAGTAAGATTAAAACAGCAACAACTCCACCCTAGAGTCTCTTTCTCATTGATGAGCATAATTTTGCCATTAGTGATTTAGTCCTTTGGATAGTGAAGCCTCCAGCACCTGGGCTCAATCTTTTCTCCCCCAGAGAAACCCCCATGAGAATTCCAGGGCAGAAAGGGAGGAAACAGCAACATGGCTCAGAGGGCAGGCACTGGAGTCAGGCTGCCTGAGTTCAATTCCAGGCACCTTCATACCCTCATCTGTAAAATGGGGATGATAATGTTACCAACCTCATGGGGTTGCTCTGAGGATAGGACAAAATCATTCATGTAAACCATCTGGGCAGGTGTCATGTTTATTCACTAAGCTGTATTGTTAGGGCAGGCCACCTTCCCCTACTATACTACACAGCCAATAAAGAAATATTTATTGAGCACCTACTATGCACCCAGCACTCTTCTAGGCCCTGGGGATTCAACTAGGAGCACGAAAAACAATAAAGTTCCTTTCTTCTTGGTGCTCCCATTCCAATTGGGGTATAAGACCATAGACGAAGTATAATACCTAGTATGTTAGCTGGTAATATATAAGCTAAGGAAAGAAAAATAAGTGATGAGGGACAGCAAGTTTGGGGGAGAATTTGAAACCGGCTGGCTGGAGAAGGCTTCTCTCTGTGATGACCCAAGGGAAGTGAGGTGTATCCATTTCCTACTGCCGTTCTAACAAACCTCGTGGCTTACACAACCCAAATGTCATTCTTTACAGTTCTTGAGGTCAGGAGTCCAAAATGGGGCTCACCAGGCTGAAATCAAGGGGTTAGCAGAGCTGGGTTCCTTCTGGAGGCTCCAGGGGAGAATCCATCCCCTTGCCTTTTCTGGCTTCTAGAGGCCCCACCTTCCTTGGTTTGTGATCCCACATTATTCTACCTTCTTCTGTCATCACATAGCCTTCTCTTTGACTTTCCTCCCTCCCTCTTCTCCTTATAAGGATGTTTGTGATGACACAGGGCCCACCTCAACCATCCAGAATAATCTTCCCATCTCAAGATCCTTAATCACATCTACAAAGTCACTTTGCCATAAAAGGTAACATGGTCACAGGTTCTGGGTATTAGGATATGGACATCTTTGGGCAGCCCATTATTTTGTCTACCATATGAGACATGGTACCTAGAAGAAGTGGGAATAGCAAGTTCAAAGGCCCTGAGGCAGAGCTCTTCTGGCATGCCTGAGGAAGCTGGAGACCAGTGAGGATGCAGTGGAGTGGGCAAAGGCAGCATGACCTCTCACAAGGGCAGAAAGGTGAAGGAGGTGGAGTGGTTCTTGCAAGCCCTTGCAAGCACGTGGGTCCCAGTGGGGACTCTGACCTTTCCATGAGTGAGATGGGAGAATGTGAGGGACATGATCCTACAGGTTTTACCAGGACCCCTTGGGCAGCTGTGTGAACAAAGGACTACCCATGAAGAGGCTGCTGCAGCATCCATGTGAGAGGCTGGGGGCTGGGCTGAGGCAACAGAGGGAAGTGGATTTTGAAGGTCGAGTCAACAAGGCATCACTTAAGGGTCAGAAGTGGAGAGGCGCTGCAAAAGGGGAATCAGGGATGAGTCCGAGGTTTTTGGCGGGAGCAACTGGGAAGAATCAAGATGCTCTTTAAGATGGGGACCACCACAAAAAGCTCAGACTTGGGACTGCTGATGAGAAATCAGGAATTTGCTCTGAGACGTGTGTTGGGAACCCAGAGAGAGGAGCAGAAAGTCGGATATGGGAGTCTGGAATTCAGGATGGGGGCCTGGAGGGATTTGTTTGGGAGATTTCAGCAGGTTATGTAGGTAGAATTTAAAGCCTGGATGACATAGATCTCTGAGGGATGTTTGCAGAGATAAGAGGACCGAGGACGGAGACCTGGGGCCCCTCTGATGAGGAGGAGCCAGTGATGCGGGAGGAAAAGCACATGAAGGTGGGGTCCTGGCAGTCAAGGGAGCCAAAGGCTGCAAACTCTGCCCACAGTAAGGATGGCATGAGGGGTTGGTGGAGCAGAGGATGACCCTCTTGCTTCTGAGGGTTGTTCTCTGGCAAACAGCCTCCAAGGGAGACAATTTAAGGGAGTTGGACCTACTGAGGCAGCCTTGTTCCTATGAGCCAGAAGTTGTCTCCCCTGCAGGAGGCTGGAGTACGTCCACTCCAGAGGTTGCCCCCCTCCCAACTCTCCCAGCATGATTTCCCTCTGGTCTCACCTCCAGCCAGGCTTTAAGACTCCATTCAGTCACCTCCCCTCTGCCAGGTGGCTCTGCTGACCACCCAGACGGAGCTGGGTATCCTTCTGCTCAGCCCCCACAGGATCTGCTGCTCCCCCGTTGCACAACTCCAAGTTGTCCAACGTTGTCACCAAGTTGTGACACCAAGTTGTCCACCCCAAGTCTCCTTCTATGCCTGAGTCTCCCACTGGGCTAGGCAAGCTTCCCCCTTTCTCCATCCTGGGCGCCTAGCAGGTGCGAGTCATCTAATGGGCTCTCAATAAACATCTGGCCACGCCTGGTCCTGCTCCACCGAAGCTCCAGCCCCTAGACTTCCCAGACCTTAGTGGGGCCCCTTACACACTGCACCTACGGACACTCCCTGAGTATTTGTTAAATACCAAGGAAAGGGCAATGGACTTGGACCCAAGCCCGACTTCTGGCACTTTCAAGTACTTTGGACTTCAGTCTCCCATCTCTAAAATGGAAGTGATACAGTCTCCTCACTGGTTGTGACGATGTTTGGGAAAGTGTTTGGCAAACTGGAAAGCAGCCTGGCAAATCAGAGTTACCAGAGCTCGAGGCTTTTCCTTGGCAGCTGATGCAGGGCACGTGACTGGACCTGCATGACCCACCCCACGCCACGTGAAGCCTTCTAGTTGGTTTTTTTCAAGCTGCTTGGAAGACAAGCAGCGTCTGCCTCTGGCAATGGGAACTGGGGAATGAGTGGGGCCCAGCCCCGGTGGAAACTCTCACACACGCATGGACGTTCACGAGTGTTTCCAATGACTAAGGGCCACATGAAGCAGTTGGCTGGACCCTTCCTGAAACCTATCCCGGATGGCTCGGCCTGCAGCGCTGCTCTGACCATCCTCAGCCCTACTCTCCCACTTCTCTGGGGGTGAGCCCCTTCCCCGCACCCAGGGCAGGGCCCCAGGCTCCCCTTTTCCCTCAGCAGCAGGGAGCACACAGGAGGTTCAGCATGTGAGGCAGTTTATTGACGTTTACTTGCCCAGATGAACTTTTCCTCACTGTTTTAGGGCTGAAGGAACTGGTGGGGAGAGGGGAGGTGTACGGACGGAAGCCAAAAGGCTGAATGTGTCATGGTGGGCTGAAAAGTGGTCGGTCTGAGATGGAGAAGCCCCCCATTTCAGAGGCTAAGAAAGTCTGGGCCCAAGAACATGCACTCATACAGCCAAATCCCTTCTATCTGCCACAGGAGAAGCAGGCATAACCCTGGCCGGCTTTCCCGCAGGCTCTCCCGTCAGCGTCAGGCCTGGCCGTTGTGCCTGAGGGACCACCTACAGCACAGCGGCCATGGCGTCTTGCCCTAAACACACAGGGCAGGCCTGGCCTGGCTCCATCCGTACAGCAGGGACAAAGGAGGCTGAGAGCAGATCCGCGGTGCTCGTCAGCCTAGGATCACGACTCTAACATGTAGTGTGAATCATTTTTTTTTCTTTTTTAAAGATTGTATTTATTTATTTGACACAGAGAGAGATCACAAGTAGGCAGAGTTGTAGGCAGAGGGAGAGGGAGAAGCAGGCTCCCTGCCAAGCAAGGAGCCGATGCAGGACTCGATCCCAGGACCCTGCGACATGATCTGAGCCAAAGACAGACGCTTAATCAACTGAGCCACTCAGGCGCCCTAAAATGTAGTGTGAATCCACAAGTGGGGGCCTGAAGGCCGGACACAATGATGAAGTATGGAAATGTCATTCTGAGCTGACCCAACTTCTGAACCAACAGACTTCTTACCCAGCCTCTGCACACAGGGTGTCTTAGTCCCCTTGGCTCCGCACGGTCCCGGAAGCAGAAGGAAGAGGAAGTGGTGGGCCGCCCAGCTGGGGCCTGGGGACTGTCATGATTGTCCAGACCTCTGTGGTCAGAGAGCGGCCCAGCCACTTCAGCCCCGACCCTGGGACGACTGAGGGAACAGGACGTTGCCCCCAAAGGCCCCCGCCCGGCCGCCTGGCTCTGCAGGCCTCTTCTACCGCTTCTTCTTGGCCTCCTTCTTGGGCCTCTTGCTGGCAGAAAGAGCAACAGCCTTGGGTTTCCTCGTCACCTCCACACTTCTGGGCTCACAGGGCTCTGCCTCCTGCATGGCAATAGAAAGGAGAGTTCTGTTTAGACGAGTCCAGCCTGACACCAGCAAGAAAGAGATCGTTGTCTGAAGGGGGCTTTGCAAACTAAAGCCCACGGAACCACCACTGCTGGGACCCGGGAGCCTTGGGTGGGCGGGGCTGCCCCCAGGGCAGTTCTCAGTGAAGAAGAGGCCCCAAGGGAGGAGGCAACCTTTGGAGCCGGTGGGGGGATGGATGGATGGGTGGATGTAGGCCTCTCCACATGCCAGCCAAGTGACCGGTGGGCAACTCACTTCCCCTTCCCACGTTTTGGTTTACCCACCTGTGAAACGGTAACAGTGATGTGCGCTGGGGCAAGTATGGCATGGAAAGTGCCCAGCGGCTGTGGCCGCACCCCGTGGCAGGCTGCTCACCCTGCGCAGGTACGGGGCAGAGCGCGGGCGAGGAGCCGGCTGTGGGGCAGACCCACCGTGGCTCGCTCCCCCTCCGGCCCTGCTGTCTTCTTTCTCCCATTCAACCCACAGCATGCCAGGGCTGGGAGGGGTGGAGAGCGCTGGCCCGCAGCTGGGCAACCACTGCCTTGTGTTCTGTGGGGCCTGGCGGAGGTGCCCCGTGGGGGAGGGTGGAGGGCAGCCTTGGGGCAGAACTCCAGACTTTCCCTACAACCTGGGCAGCCCTGGTTTTTCTATGTGTCCTGTTCCCTGTAAGATTTGGTTTATGTAAAGGCTCTGCTGTTTTAAAAAACAGGTTTAAAACCACAGCCCCAGGCTCACGTCAGAGAAGAATCTGGAGGGGACTCAGTCCGGTGAAGTGTTCCCTGACCCCGGGGAGTAAGTCCCACCGTGCCTTGGTCAGGCAGGATGTTAGTGAGGCGTGACCGGCCTGGAGAACAATGACCACAGCCCCCGAGCCTCCTCCGGCCCTCAGGTGGACTTCACTTGGCCTAAAGTGTTTATTTTTAAAAATCTGAGCTAACTGGTAGCTTTCCCATTCAATGGAGACTCCCAGCTTTTCTTGAAAATGTGAAACGCCTGGCAACGGCAGCCCCTTTATTCAGGTGCCCACACTCCCACAGCCCCAGCACTAGGGTCAGGAAATGTGTCTCGGTACCTGTGTTTTTATTAAAAATGGGAAAATAAAAAGCAGACAAAGAATACTAAGAAGGAGCATACTTCTGGAAGAGAAAAACACTTCCTCGGTTGAACTGGCCGACTCCCAGCTTCCCGCTTGCTTTGCTCTCTCTCCTTCCCTGGCCCTGCACCTCAAGCCCTCAGGCTGGCAGGAGAGCTGTGACCCTGGCTGGGGAGGGGCAGTCCACACCTATGTGGGGCCTACTCCAGTTGTCTGTCAGCTCCCTCTTATCAGCCATCCTTCCCTCCACCCCCCCTGCCAGCCCGCCTGCTGAGACATCAGTAAAGACCCAGCCCAGTCCCAGGTACCCATGTGTGAGCTTCCTAAGATAACAAGGGGGCTGGCCCCTCCCCTAGCCAGGTCTCTGATGGCAGCACTGGACTCCCCCAGCCTGTCAACTTGGGCCGACACTTTAATGTAACTTGGCCAAAAAAAAAGAAAGAAAGAAAGAAAGAAAGCCCATTAGAAAGACAAACAAACAAAACAGAACCTCAGAGGAGCCAGTGTGTCAAGTGCACAGGCTGAGCAGCCCCCCAACGCCACCCCGCACCCCCCCCCCCGACAGAGCACAGCGGGCCAGGGCGGCGGGGGAAGGCTACTGTTTAAGGCAAACCCCACAGGGCACAGTCTCTGGAGACCTTGGGAGCTGGAAACTGTCCCCAGTCAGTGCCTATGAGGCCAGTGCAAACCGCTCAGTCCCTGAGTGCCTGAGACAAACAGGCCCTGACAAGATGAATGGTTTCTGCACAGGGAACATGCCAAGCCCACCAGGATCTCTGGAGCTCCCGACCCTCTAAACTCAAAGCTGGGTGCCCCCTCCAGTTTCAGTGGGGCCCAGGTCAGAATCCACAGGGACGGTGACACCCGCCTGCCAGCCCCAGAGCCTCCCTCATCCCACAGACCCTCTCTTAGGTGCCTTATCCATTCTGGTACCTCCCCGACCTCTCTCCTGAGCAGACGTTTTCCTGACCCAACTATCTGTGTGATGGCTGGGACCAGCGCCCCCCCGCCCCCGGGGAACGTCCAACCGCACTGTCCCAGACCCAGCACAGCCCCTTCTCTAGCAGGCCAGGTCCTCCTCCCCGCCTGAAGGCAGAGCCACCACAGCCCCAGTGACCCCACCCGTCTCTCCTCCCAACGGGCCAATCAGTCACCGCGGCCTGGGGATTCAACCCTCTTTAACTCTCGACTTGGTCACGCTCTCCAGCACCGAAGTCCCTACGTCAGTTCCTCCACTGCTAACTGACCTCCCTGCTCTACGCCACGCCTTGTGCAGATCCCCCCACCTTAAACCTTCTAGGGGCTTCCCATCTCCCACAGCTTCATGCCCCACATTCAGGAAGGCACCTAAGGAGGCCACATCTCCAGCTTCTTCTGGGCTCTTCTCCAGACCCCACACTGGGTCAGCTGCCAGGGCTTCTGCTGGTCACCCCTAACAAGAGGAGCACCCTTCTTGGCCACGCGGCAAACCCCTCCCCTGTGGTCTGGCCCAGCTAAGAATGCACTCCTACTCACTGTCTAGTCTTCCTTCTCTGCTCCTCTACCTCCAGCAAGGCACATCCCTTCCTCCACCCCTACCCCCTGGTACTGAGGAACCACATGGTGCCACATTACACGTTACCACAGTTACACATTCTCCTGTTGGTTTTCCCTACTAGCTTGTGAACTCCTTGAGACAGCTTCAATTATGAATGAATGAATGAATGAATGAATGAATGAATGAATATGGAAGATCAGGCAAGATGTCCCATAACCATGGAAACTTCACTCTTGTTTATCATCATGGAAACAGAACACTTAAGGGCACCTGGCTGGCACAGTCGGTGGATTGTGTACTCTGATCTCGGGGTCATGAGTTCGAGCCCCACGATGGGTGGAGTGATGACTTAAATAAATATTTACAATATATATATAACACTTAGGACCAGGTCTCCCTTTTCCCATGGGCACAGAGAACGCAAGGAGATGTCAAACCCAATACACATTCCCTAAAGTACGGCTAGGCGTAGCCTACCAGAGCCGCGACGCCTGTATTTACAACGTACCAGGCCCTGGGCTATGTGGTGTGGACAGGCCTTATTTTAGCCTCGCAAAGTGCCATGCTGAGTCCCACCAGAAAGACGAAAGAAGAAACACTCGGAGAGATGATGTGACTTGCCTAAGGTGTCCACAGTTGGTGAGCAGCAGCGCCAGGACGGGAACTGCAGCTCTTAATGGTCATAGGGTAGAGTCTGTCCCAGGTGTCCTGGGGACCTCAGGGCTGCAGACCGAGAACCCGAGTTAACTGTGAAACCCACCCTCTACTTAGCAGCACCTGGAACCACAGGCTGCACAGGTGATAGGGGAACAAGAAGAGCCCGTTCCGGATTCTGCCGATGGGTCATTAGGACCGCTTGTTTGTAACTGCAGTTCCGACGGGAGTCAGGGGAGCGGCTTAGTGCTTCCCACGCCGGGCTTTGTTTTTTACAGCGGGTGTGTGTTCATATTACAGTCACCGAGTCATCTGAACATACTATCTTGTCTCCTCCTTACCCCAGACCTCCTCCTCCCTTCCCCACCTCAGTTTCTGGCCCCATCATCACTCACCCAGTTACCCAAGCTCGAAACCTCCAAGTCATTTTTGAGTTCTCGCCATTCCCTCGTGCCCCCATATCCAATGTGCCCCAGGTCCTGCGCATTCTCCTCTCCAAGGGGCTCTCAACTCCGCCTGGCCCCTCTGGACACACACTGCTGCACCAGGCCAGACCCCACAGCCCCCCTGCTTGCCCCCTTGCTGGGTCAGCCTCCCCCACATTCTCCTCGCCACCTGCCCCAACGCTTTCAGTCTATTCTAAAACAACAGTCTGGACCATGTCTGTCTGCTGCTTTAAATGTGTTTCTGGTCCCCCCTTCGTAGGAGACAAATTTCTAAGAGCTTCCCTGTGGCCTTCAAGGCCACTCCACTCCGGCGCTGGCCCTGCCTCCTGGCTCGCCGCTCCCCATGCAGCCTACTGTCCTGCCCGGCTACCAGCCCGCCAACTACTGCCCACACGCTCTGTTCCCTTTCCTGCTCTGCTGAGGTTCCCAGGCCTCCCACCTATCTGTGTGCATGCAGGGGATGCAGTTCTGTGCCAGGTGCCACGGAGTAATGAAGAGAAGACACACTTAGCGATGTGCACCAAACATCCACTCACTGAGCCTGCATCACCCTAACAAGCCAGCCACTGTGAGCCCAATTTACAAGCAAGGAAACTGAGGCTCACTGAGTCTCAGTCCCTGGTCCAACGGGGCACAGCCGAGTTTCCAAGCTACAGGGAAGCAAAAGCAGCTCTTATGCACATGATTCAGATGCTGGGGTCCTAGCCACGAAGAGCTGTAGCTCCAAATTCTTAGCCAGCAAGAACGACTCTGAATGAATGGCTGACTTTTAATTTCTCCTCAAATGCATGCTGCTGGGACAAGCTAGGCAGACTCCAAGCACTACAGCCCCACCTTCAAATCTGGGAACTCCGAGCCTCCTCTGAAGCAAGTTTTAAGTTTCCTCGGCAATCACGTTGTCGGGAGTAAAAGAAAACCTCCCCCGCCAGGTGGCTGCTGGCTCTGCGGAGGCACCAGTCCTCTGTGGACACAGGCCTCATCAATAATGAAGCAGTTCCACAGCTGCTTACGAGGCCAGAAAATTGCTGCTATTCATCAGATTCAAATAATCGAATCTGTGCCACAATGCAGCAAATCCCTTCCAGCAGGGAAAGCACTCAGAATTTTATGATTTCCACTATACAGTTCAGTGTGGTTTCAGTCCGATAAATCAGAACAAAGCATCACTTCACACAGACCGAAAACCATTCTTTCCTCTCAAGCGGTCCAGGGAAAGAAAACCACTGTGCTACATGCGTGTATCCTC